ATTTACGCCCCTGCATAAGTACAAGCACAATGGCACTGTGTTATTAAACGTCTCACTGTCTCTCATCTCTGCCTTCTTTTATCTCTCTGTTTCTCTTCTCCTTCATCTTGTTTTCAGAATGACCTGCACAGAGCGATTCAGCGAACACACTCGGCCATGTTCAACCAGGTGCTCATCCTCATCAGCACCCTGGTCTGCCTCATCTTCACTTGGTGAGAAAAAAAACCAAAACAGGGCCTAAAACTGATTTCTGACAATAAGAAAATTCCTCCTTCATATTGGGGATATACTGTATGTATGTGTGTATAGCCTATATATATATATATATTTATTTTGTATTTTTTTTAATTTGTACACGTCCAAACCTGTATGATTTTTTTTTTTTTTACTTTCATTGTACGAACAAAACAGTTCTTCAAAATATCTTCTTTTGTGTTCTGCAGAAGAACGATTTTCATACGGGATTGGAATGACACAAGGGTGAATAAATATTGACTGAATTTAATTTTTGATACTGTTAAGGTGCAGTATCAAAAACAGATCATTTACAATAGTTCAGTGAGAGAGCATAAAATGATTGCATAAACTAAATAGTGCTTTTGGTGCAAGAAATGTTATAAGTGGACATGTAGAACAAGGTATTGTTACATTGTACATTGCAGAATGGGAACTAGTGTGACAGTGCTGCTGTCTGTGTGACTGGTATTTGACAGTAGTTGACAGGATGATGTTTCTAAAGTGCTGATTAATTAAACACCATGTTTTGTGTGTGTTCTCTTGTTCCGTGAGGTAAATAGCAGGGAGGTGCTGAATGTGCAGGGTACCGGTGCGTTTGTAAAAAAAAAAAAAAGAAGTAGGGGGGGAGAAATGAATGACCTTTTCACCACTGACAGCTGCATGTTGACTCAACCGGCCTTTCAACACTGAGCAAACCCATACACACACACTGGCTGTACTGAAAGATAACCCACATACGGACACACAAGCAGGATTCGCATCATGTTGTCTTGCTCGTGGCTCACCACACAGTTATTGTGTTTTGGCTCGTGTTTATCACAGTTTGCTCCAAACCATCCGGTGATGATATAAAATGCAAATCCCGGAAAACCTGTCCACCTGAAAAGCCTTTCAAGGAATAGTTTATTCAGAGATTATTTACTCAACACCATGTCCATTCCCGTATGCTGTTATTTTTCTTCCATGGGACACAAGTAGAAGTTTTTAAGAATATAACGGTTCTTAGTGACCACGTCTGCAGGCTCTAAAAAAGCTTTTAAAATAGCATCATACAGGTTTGGAACAACATGAAGGCGAACAAATAATGACAGACTTTTCATTTCTGGGTGAGCTGTGCCTTTAAATCTACATGTAAGCTGTTCTTAGTCCCTTTTCTCTCTCTTTTCCAGTATTTGAAACTACTGTCATTGATGAAATAGACCAAAACAGGTAATTTTCTCAAAAGTACAAGTTGTTAATGAACTTTTTTTTTTATTGAAATGTTGTATAAAAACATTATCACATTTGCAATAGCACTGATATTTGAGAAAAACAACTCTATTACTTGTGTGAAATGGTATAAATATTAAAAACAAAACTTCATAAAGGAACTATTTTGCCCCTACATCTAAAATGTTAGAGGCATTTTTAGTTCATTTTGGTTGTATTTTTTCCCCAAGCTCCTTTTAATTTAAGACCCTTGTCACTGTCCAATAATTACCGATTGGTCCAAAACCAACCTTTAAGTTCACTGTAAAACACCAGGTTCACTGTAAAAAAAAAATGATATGATCAAAATGTCATGGCAATATCTGTTTTTAACTTTCATCTTAATTTTTTTTAAAATTCAACTAGACAAGATTTTAAAATATATATTTGAAATTATTTGATTATACTAATATTATTGATTATACTTAACAATTTAATTAAATTATATATACTATTTTATACAGCAAACATTATTTATACTGTATATATTTTACACTGCCCAATTCAGTAATTCATATCAAACTGTAACTTCATATACTAGTGACACAAACCTCAAAAGTCATCTTAATACAATACATCTGTCCCACTTGATTATCACATCAAACTTTCGGCAAGTTCGCATGAAGAGCTTTGAAACCGTGCAGAATTTAGGTACATTGTGTGAATTACTCTGAAACATTTACAGAGAGCTTAGTGAATGAAAGAAAGTATTTTATCCTGACTTCACTCAGTTTCCTCAACAGTAGTTCTGCATTGTTCTTTCACACAACTTCCCATAATTTCAAC